TTTGGCTAGAAAAACAAATTTGAGAGTCAACATTCTGCATAGTTTGTTACCGATAACCCAGGCACACATCAGGTAAGTAATAATGCTTAAAATGTGACTGATAATTGATGGAAAAAGCAAGTGAGAACTCTGCGTACGGGAAGATGTTTTGCATCTGTTGGCATGGAGTGTTCACGATAAGCCAGCGGAGCACCAGGTGCCGCGGCTGCTCAATAAATATTAACTTGCAGTGGCAAAGCTCAAGAAAGCAATGAACTGTTATTTCAGGAGCTGATCCTACCTAACTTCACTGGCGCCAGCACTGTTGCTCAGCTGCTTGTACCTTCTGTTCCTCATCCTCAGTATCTTTTTTCCTGGTGGCTTAATTCCTGACCTGGACATCTTGCTTTCTTCTTGATTGCTGCCTTTTACTCTCACATTCAGAGAATACGGTCCTCACTACAACTCTGTCCCTAATGACATCCCAGAGCCTGTTCTTCATGGGTTTCTGACTCTGCCATGAACACGAACTTGAATCATGAACAATAACTGAGTATGTTATGCACCAGGCACCATATTGGACACTTGACCCACATATGCCATTGACAGCAACCCTGCAAAATAGATGCTTATCCTTGGGTCAGGCCTTCATCTCCCTGAGAGAGTAAGTGGTTGGCTCTGTCAGGTAGCTAGAAGTGGTGGAGCAAGAAGTCAAAACAAGTCCATGCTGACTCTGCAGCTGAGCTTCCTGCTTTGCTGGATTTGCTAAGCATGTGGATTTCGCCTGCTGAATCAGTCTGTACCCAGTCTCACCCAGCTCCCCAGCAAAGTCCATTAGGTAGTTGGTATCTGTCGATAACCACCATGCATCAAGGCAGACTGGCCTATGTCTATACCCTGGAGGGGCAGTGTTCCACATCTCTGTAATTGCACACTTTGCTTGGTGCTTTAATGTGGGTATTTATCATGTGGAACTGACAGGTCCTAACCTGGGAGAAGCTCATGGCCTGGAAGGTATGAGTCATCAGAGAAACAACAGAGACTGAGTATACTGGAGCTCCCACACTAGGGACCAGGGAAGAGTAGCTGGGAGGATGAGGACTAAAGACCGAGAAGGCAGTACTTTGGGAGGCCAAGGCGGGTGGATCACAAGGTCAAGAGATCGAGACTATACTGGTCAACATGGTGAAACCTCGTCTCTACCAAAAATACAAAAAAATTAGCTGGGCATGGTGGCATGAGCCTGTAGTTCCAGCTACTTGGGAGGCTGAGGCAGGAGAATTGCTTGAACCCAGGAGGCGGAGGCTGCAGTGAGCCGAGATCACGCCATTGCACTCCAGCCTGGGTAACAAGAGTGAAACTCCGTCTCAAAAAAAAAAAAAAAAAAAAAAAAACCAAGAAGGAAGGCTCAGAGCTGTGTAGAAGAGGAAGATGTGGGCTCTCAGTTAAGGGATGAGATGTAATAGGAAAGCGTACATAGAAAAAATCATAACTCACTGGTCAAAGGAAACAGCCTTTATTGCCTTATGCAAATGTGTAAATAAAGCTTCAATCTCCCTGGCCACAAACTCATACCAAAAGGCTTTCTGTCTTCATTAGGCATGTCCCCTAAGCACACAAGTATGTTATAAGATAAAGAGATGTATGACCAAACACTGTCTGTAGTGGGGGGAGCCACTGCAGGAGGCCAGCTCCTGGGAGGCTCGGCAGTTTGGGCATGAACCGTCTGCAGTTGATGCCGGGAACACTCTGAACCCCTCTGTGGTGACTGAGCAATCCCAAGCTTCTGGAAGAATTGGCAAAACCCAAGCTATCTGAAATTACAAGAAGAAATTGTTGATTTTTAATCTGTAAATTCTCTTAGAATTTGGTTGCCCCGAAATGAGTTATTTGCATTGTGATGCTTGTTACTTACTGTACTGATTATATTTGAGAAAATGAAGGATAATGTGAAACCCTGAGATGTGACTTATAACTTTGTCTCTGCTGAGATGCAACTTGTAACTCTGGCTCTGCTGAACTGTTCTGGTAAAAACGGGAACTCTGTGAAAGGGACTAACCACATGGCTTGACTGCCAGAGAGACATGACAGCGTGTAATGGGCTTCTCGTTGCAGAGAGCCTATAGGCAGATGTGTAATGGAGAGGCTTATTACCTGGATTCCTTTCCCAGGAAAGGCATATTGATTATGGCCCTGGAAAGGGAATACAACCCTTATGGAAAGCATATAAACGGACGCATGAGGGGCATCTGTCTCTGTGGTTGAGAGAAAGATGTAAAAGTCTATCTTCTCCCACCGCTCCTCCACGCACCGCCTGTGTGGAGGTCCCCTCCTCTTGCAGTTTTTGTGGTCAGGCTGGTTGTCCTGTGTCAGATCCTGTTCCCCCTGCAGCTGTGAGCCCAATATGTTCTTGCTGATAATCGTAAGTTTATGTTTAACCTCTATTCTTGCTAAGGTGTATGATTTCTATGCTGACACACAAAAAGTTATCTTTACATTGTTCTGCTTTTATAATACCACGTTGTGATTTTTGTGCACCAGTTTTTGTAAATGTATTCTTTTTGTAATTATCACTGAAACTGTGTAATTTTGCTCCCCTCCCCTATTGAAAGAGCACAATAAAAAAACCTGAGGTTTTCAGGGGAATGGCAGGCATCCACCAAGCAGCTTTATGTGGTGTCTCCCCTGGGCCCAGCTTTAAAGAAAACTTTTTCCTTGTCTCTCTCTTTCTTTTTCACCAACCCGCAATCACTTTGAGAGATCTTAAACCCATGTTGATATATTGGGAGCTGGTCTCGCCAATAACTTAACATCACACTGGAGGACAAACTAGAGGACAAAGGGAACTGAAGCTACTCATCTGAGCAGCACCTGTTCTTCCAGCAAACGTGACCTGTTGCCACCCGACACCTGACTGGCTGGATGGGCCCCATGCTGCCTGCTGAGGAAAGGGAGCTCATAAATCTCCATTTCACGTTAGGTTTCGTGGCAGACATGGGATATGGAATTCCAGAGGAAAGCCAGCATCAACCAGACATCACTTATTAATAAATCAAATTGGTAAAGGTTGAAAGGTAATGAGCATGGTTTAACAGGCAGACGAGAGGGGAAGAGAAGAGACAGGGGCACCATATCCTTTAGTCACAGCAGATGGTGACAGCACTGCAACAGCAAATAGATACGCAGTGGCCCCTCGGCCCACTGAATGGCTGAAGAGTTTCAGCAGAACCCTAGGAAGAGTTTGCACAAGGATAATCCAAATTGCCTACCTCCACTGCTAACACGCCACCTGCCTCACGGGACAACTGACATGGTTCCAAGGATTTTGAGAAGCAGAGAGGTTCTCTCTCTTTCTTTTTTCCTGTCTCTTTCACACACACATATGTATACAAACAGAGACAAAATCTTAAATATATATTTAATCACATCATACATTTGTTGTCTTTTATTATGATATTCAAAATGCCAGTAGCCAAGTTCTTTGCTATATTGTCCACATCAAGACCAAAGCTGAAACAGAGTCAGCTCTCCAAAAACATACGCAGAATAAACAGACGAATGACTGCTTGCTATCTGTTTGCATTTCAAGTTCTGATGCCTGACCTTGCCTAGTATCTTTTTATTAATGTCCCTAGATAGAGTCTTTAGTTGTATTCTAATTTTACAACATTTTTATTGAGAAATTTAAACTTCTGTACCTCCTTACATATGGCAATAATTTTTCTGATGGAGAAACAATAAAAAGTAGGAGTGAAGGAATTTTTAGCAACTTGTTTCTTAATTTGCACTGAGAACACCCTTATTTAGGGCATCTCATTCAAAAATTTATATTTATCCTATTTTTCTCTCATTTAAAAAAATTCAGTATTAATGGATTTGATTATTGAATACCAAATAACAAATTATTTGATATTTAGTAATAAATTACTGAATATATTATTTGAACATATTGACTGCAGAGTTAGTGACAGGACAAGATCAGAGTACCAAATAAATAGAACTCATCCTGGATTTTTCCTTAAGCACCAGCTACTTCCTCGTCTCCAGCCACATGCCTGGGATGAGAAAGTCTACAGTGCACTAAAATTTAGATGATAAATTTCATCACCCCTCAACAGATGTAACATTTTATGTAGAAAAATGTATTCAACCATGATAACTTGGATCTGAGTATGGGGATGCATGTACCTAAGTCTTTGAAACATGTTCAAAACCAGATCCAAACAGAACTAATACTCAAGAGTGAATCTCAAGAGTGTTGGAATTGGAGGCTTTCCCCCTTGATAAGGCACTTTAAAACCTGTCTGCAGCTCTGTATTTAATCCTAGTAATAACAAAAATAAGCAAGGACCCATGGGCCTTTGATTTGAAGGAGATTAAATTTGCTATTAAAGAAACGGATCAGAATAAAAACAGAAAATAGAGCCTTAGTCCTGCCTTTCAAATCTTGCTGCCATCCCACAGAATCAGAGAACTGATTAGTGAATTAAGGAAAGTTCTGTAGACTGGCAAGCACTTTTACAAGTTGATATATTTTTTAAGCTATCTCCAAGAATTAAAACCTCATCACTTTTTTTGTAGGGCTTTATATTTTAAAATGTCATGTAAATATGACAAAGCATAAAGATTTGCTAAATATGGGCACTGAAAGTACCCAAAGGTTTATTATTCTCAGTACTTTCTTTACTGTAAGCATTTCATAATAAAAGATCCCAAAAGAATCAAAATGATATTAACAAAGAAAACAACCAGAATACACATTTTTTTCGTGTTTACAAAGGTTGTTTAATTTGTCTTGGCAATGGTTAAAAATATGAGACATCTGAGTCCAAGTTGATTTGCAATTTTTAAATAATGTCTGATGTCAAAATATAGATTATGAAGACGTTAAATTTTTTGACACTCTAACAAATGTTAATAGAAATCAACTCCCAGGAAACCTGAAATCCCTCCACTCTCAACATAGTGCTGACAATTCATCATATTTAACAAGGTGTATTGGAAATAGCTGAGTACTGACCTCCCGAGGACAAATGATTCTCTTGGGACGAGGTGCCTCTTGCTGTAACTGATATACTGCCAAAAAAGAGAGAAAGAGAGAGAGAAAATAATTAGAATTAGAATACTGCAACACATATCAACATGCCTTCAAACATTTCCATCCAAGTACAGTTCAAGAATTGCAAATATTAAAAAAAAAGAGAATACAGGCACATTTTTTAGACTGGATAAAGTCAGATCATTTATATGGAAATTAGTCGCTGTGAATAAAAACTTGCAAAATTGATTTTTTTATTCTTATAAGGCCAATTTAGTTTCATAATTGTTACTGGCATTGTTCATTTTATGGCTTTCTTGGAAGACCAAATATGGCTAAAATTCTTCTGACTATTTTAAAGATGAAATTATACTTGTGAGTACCTGAGTGGTAAGATCATATAATAGGATTCCTGAACTTAAATGCCTATGTCTCCTGACATACCAGGGAAAGAACTGGCTTTATAAGAGGAGTGCCATTCTCTGAAATGTTAGTTATGTACAAAGACATAACTGATTCTGTGAGTGAATGAAACACCAAGCCATTTCTCTCTCTTTTCTCCCTCCATTTTTTCCCTGTCTATCACACTGCAAATTCTCATCCATTTGAAGACTTCCCACCCATTGTCATTCCTCTTTCCTGGGCCCTTTCTCATCTTAAATAATAGTAACTCCTTTCTAACCTAATTTAAAGGCAGACTTTCAGGCTTAGGCATGGAGGAAAGCAGGTCATTGTATAGAAAGCAATTTATCAGACAATTATTTGTGATTTTTTTCAGAATATAATGAGTGATTTTTCTGCTGCTCAGCTAGTCTTATTATTTCTGCTAAAGGGAAAAGCTACCCTAAGCAGGTATCTTTGGATTCTATATCCATGAAAATACAGTTTTTTTTTTCTTTAAAAAGTTAATATTATCTTCAGAATCCTGGAGAGGAAAGAATTAATTTTAGATGGAATACATCTATAAAAAGTTTTTTTTTTAAACTAGATCTGATAAAGTCTTTCTAGAATATGTAATAAGATAAGCAACACTTTCTGATTTATTTTTAGGCTCAAAATAAAAAATGTAATTGAAGGGCAGATAATCATATGCAAACACAGATAAAAATGATGAAAAACCTTTTGTAATTATGACTCCCCAATGTCTTTGGTTCAACATGGTTATTTTCTTACCAAATGAAGTGTAGACTACCTGCCTTTCTCACAGAGAAGATACTATCTAACCCTCTATACATTTTGAAATGTACCACATTTCTAGGTATAGGTCACCCATATTGATGTGTCACTTAAGGATGACTATAGTCATCTCTGAAAGGAAAAGAGAGTTCAACATAACCCTTTAGCTCAGAAGGACACCAAAAATGACAGACAGATAAAAAGAAGGCTTTTACACACCTGCTTCCATGTAGAGAAAGAGCCTTCAGATCCTAATGAGCCAATACGTGGATAGCGGGACTAGGTGGAGAAAAGGTGAACGACCTAGCATACAAGATCATCAACGAGTTGGCACACACTGTTCACCTTGTGCTATCTCCACTGGCTTCCATGGCATCACCGTCCTGGTCTTCTTCCTTTGATCCTGGCTGCCTCTTTCCTATGCATGTTGCTCTTCCTCCTCCTCTACCTGTCCACTGACCACAGGACTTACCTTAGACCCTCTCCAGGTCTCATTCTCTTTCTTCTCCCTAGGGAATCTCCTCCACACCTCACTTCGTTTATCTCCTACACACAAAGGCTCCCACAGCTCTGCTCAGAACCCTCTGCTAAGCTCCAGAACGTATATCTTACTTCCTACAGATTCCTCCTGATTTTCTCAAAAGAAAAAGGACCTCAACTTCAGCATATCAAAAGTTGAACTTAAGATCTTTCTGTCCAAGTCTAGGCTTCTTCTGGGAATTCTGAAATCCGTGAAGGAGCCATTCTTCATCCTGCTTCTCTAGCTGCCGGCATCCTAGAAGTTGTTCATCACACCTCAGATGGTCAGTTCATCAGCAGACCCATCACTTTCGCTTTGTAACATCTCCCAAGACTATCCACTCCTCTTCATCCCTATCATTAACTCCCTACTGCAAGCTCTGGATTCTTCCCACCTTGCAGACTGTTTTCTCCCTGGTGACTGTTTTAAAACATCAATCAGACCGTATCACCACCCTGCTTAAAAGCCTTACATGGCCTCACGCTGCTCTCAGAGGGAGATCAGATGCCCTAAATGGTTTTGCGTGTCTCCTTCTACGGTGTCATCATGTGTCATGCTTTCTGCTCAGCCAAGCTTGTTTCCTCCCCTTTCCCTAAATATGCAGTGCTCCCTTCAACATCGGGGCCTTTGCATATGCCATTCCTTCTGTCTATGGCTTCTCCCTCTCCTCCGTCTCTATCTCTCATTATCTGCCCCTTATCATCGTATCCTTAGTTCAAATATCAACCTCACGGAGGAGTCTTTCTCAACATATCTCACACCAGATCCAAAGACAGCACCCTCATCTATGCTCTTATAATCCCCTTTATATAACTTGTCAACAGTTATAGTTCTGTATTTATTGGTGTGATTTCCAAAAACAATGATCTCTCCCTGCATGTTGTAAGTAGTGCTGTGAGGGAAGGGATCATGTTTGTTTTTGCTTTGTCATGTATCCCCAGATTTTACTGAGGTGCTATGGATATAAATATAAATAAAACCACAGCCTCTACTTTCAAGAACCCTATCAGCTTTAGTGAGAGGCCCAAATGTTTTTATGAAAAAGTGCAGTAAATACAGGGCTAGCAAGGCATCATCTGTTCAAGACTTGGTTTACCAATCTCTGTTAGAAGGAAATAGTTAAATTAACTATAGTACATCTTCCGGTGGATACCATGCTCCTGTAATAAAGAATGAGAAAGCTCTCTATGCACTGACCTGGGTTAATATTGACATTCTGTTAAGCAAAAAGAGCAAGGTAATACACACACACACACACACACACACACACACACACACACACACACAAATATGTAGAGTATACATTCATTTAAAGAAAATAATAATGTATATTCAGTTTTGCTTACAGCTGTATAAAGAAACTCTGGAAGGAACAAAGAAGTAATAAAAAGCATCTACCACCTGGGGATAAAAGGAAAGACAAAGACAGGAGTGGGACAAATATTTCTCACTGTACACTTTATGTTGTTTTGAGTTCTGAATCATATGTATTGCTTATTCAAAATAGAAGAAAAGGCTATAGGAGATAAGGTCAGAGAAGGCTTCTTGTGATACCCGAGGCCAATCAAAAACAGAAAAACAGCTGTGGACATTCCTCTGGCTACCCCAGTATAGCTCATGCCCTCCTTAATCACCAGGGAGGCTGCATGGAATTCCTTTATTCCTCTGGAATCACCCCCAAAACCACTAAGCTGCTCTTCAGCAGGATGTTGCTATTAATGAGCACAATGGCCATCTCCTAAAATCACAGAGGAACTCAGAATTCACATTCAGAGAATCCTGGCCACTCTTCTCTTCCCACTGTCAGTGCCTCTTGAAGCTAACAGCGATATATGGCTGAAACGGCTTTGGGAATATCATTTTTAATGGAGGTGGCAAAGAACACATACCTGTTACACAAGAGAAGCATTTTTAGCCAAGTGCTCCTTTGTGATTCTTATGAGCAAATATGCGAGCACCTGCTATATGCCAGATACCACAGTCAGCATTATGTGGAGGCTCTGAGGATGAATGGAGAGTCTGGGAGAAGAGAAGGGCACCAGCACACCAAGTGCCTGCCATGTGTCAGGAACAACATGTACTGAATCTTCTAATAAACCAGAGAAAATAACTTTGTATCATTATCATTCTGGGTAGGGAATGAGGAAACAGTGCAGAGAAGTTAAATATTTGCCCCAAGGCATAGAGCTAAAATGTATCCTTTTGATTCCCAAGCCCTTGGGTTTTTTTGTTGGTTTAACTGTTTAAGAGATGGGATCTCACTATGTTGCCCAGGCTAGAATCAAACTCCTGGGCTCAAACAATCTTCCTGCTTCCACCCCTCAAGTAGCTGGAAATATAGGTGGGTGCCATTAATCCTGCTTCCCTGGTTTATATTTCCCAGGCCTCAGAGCTTTTGCAGTTACTGTTCCTTCTGCCTGGCTTACTCATTCTCAAGATAGCCACATGGCTCACTGCCTCCCTTCATTCAAGTATCCGCTTAAATCCCACCTTATCAGCGAGGCCTTCCCTGACGTGCCTGTATCAAATTCCACCCTATCCCTCTGCTCCTTCATATAATTTTAAATTTCCTCACAGCACTCACCCCCATTAACACAATTAATAAACAAGACATATTGAGTTTATCTCATCATCATTAACACAATTAATAAACAAGACATAAATATTGTGTTTATTTATTTTGTGTACCAACTCCCTTAACTAAATTGTAAGATTTTTGAAGGCAGGGATGCTGTTCGGTGCACTGAAGAATCCCCAGCATCTAGAACAGTGCTTGACATGCAGTAGATGGTTTTGTTCTTCTTGTTGTTTGAGAGGGGGTCTCACTCTGTCACACAGGCTGGAGTGCAGTGACACAATCTTGGCTCACTGCGATACTCCTGCCCCAGCCTCTCAAGTAGCTAGGACTACAGGTACACATCACCATGCTGGGCTAATTTTTGTATTTTTGTAGAGACAGGGTTTCCTCATGTTGGTCAGGCTGGTCTTGAACTCCTGACCTCAAGTGATCCACCCACCTTGGCCTCTCAAAGCACTGGGACTACAGGCGTGAGCCACCCTGCTCAGCCTTGTAGCAGATATTTAATGCATGTGTCCCTTTATTCCTCTTGGATCAGCCCAACACTACTAAGCTGCTTTTTAGCAGAATGTTACCAACAATGTGTGTGTAACAGGAGTCAAAGGGGCCATCTCCTAGAATTACAGAGTTCTAGATCTAAGAAGGACTGCAGAATCCACAGTGAGAGGATCCTCTTCCCATTCATTACTGATGCCTCTTGAAACCAACAGTGATACATGGGAGGTATGGCTGAACTGGCTTTGTGAACACATTTTTAATCATTT